TTTTCCTTTAAATCACGGTTCTGTCCTGTATGTGCCAAGCATTGAATAGTTGAACAGGGGCAGGCAGTGACATAGGTACAAAGGAATGGGACAGTGAAAGGTTTAATATCAGCTGCAGCTCTGGGGTTTGTTTGCCATGGTCGATTCCACGCTTGGGCCCCAACAGTATTTTGACAATCTCTTGTAAGTAAAAATAGTAGTAGTGGCTGACGGACACCAGCACGACAGAGAGAGAAGCAGGGGGACTAGTAATTCGTTGCACTCTCAGCTGCTTTGTTAGGTTCCTTAGTAATAAATGGGCTCCTTTGCCATTCTAATGTAAAACTGACACGTGGCTAATTTGCAGAACGATCTGTTTAACACTGTGATTAGCAGTAGAACTGCAATTATGCCACCTCCGAGGCTGTAATAATACCAGAGAGAGAGTCTGTCAAGAGTTATAGCTATTTTTGTGGTCACTGAGCTCTGCTTCATGCATGGCCCTAGAGGTCTAAAGAAGGCTGGGGTTTCACTTCATAGCTTTTCCAGACAAAGATGGACATGGTTGCACTGGGTCCTCCAAATTCCTCTCTTCCGTGGGGTCTGCGGGTAGAGCAGAGGGGCATGGGGATTGAGTCTGCTGAGGAGTGAATGCAGGACGGCTCAGTTTTGCTTCCAAAACGAACAGTGATGGGGGCCCAGAGTGTCCAGTGTGTGCATGCAGACTTGTGAGATAGTCTGTGAGTTTATCTGTGTCTTTACCTTGCCCCGTGTCAGTATGCAAGCTTCTGACACATTCCCTGGATCTACTGAGTCCCGGCTCTGTATACTACCTCACAATATATTTGCTGGATTTGTCCCACATCTGTATGGTAGCTCATGATATATTCCCTGGATTTATCACACCCTGTGTGTGTATGCAAACGTATGATATATTCTGTGGATTTATTGTGCTGCGTGTCTGCCATTTATGAGCACTAGGAGGTTATTTATTCATTTAGCATATATGGTTTTGGCATATTGTTCCAGCCATCTTAAGGCAACATCATCGCCACTGTGAAGAGCTTGAAGGCCACCAGGCAGTATTGTAAATGGACACAAGTCAACCATGTGGTGTTTGAACTTGTCCACAAGGACATTTGTTGTCATTGCAGAGGTCCCATTGGTATAAATTTGAGGCACAGTGACCCGGTCCAGTTTGAAACTGGTTGAAAAGTGCCCAATAATGGCGTGGCCAGTTAAATCCTGGTTGACTGACTGTAGGGTCAGAGATGATGTGGTGATGGGTTGGTGCTTGTGCCAGCCATTCTTCATGCCATTGAGTCAGTATGGAAAAGTCAAAGGGTGGACCATATGGGATGTCTTGAGGGGAACTGAGCTATTGGTGGGTGGAAGATGTCCCAGTGCACTGGTAGCATAGGATTATCCCATAGTCTGGCTACTTCATTCGTGCGGTGGAGGTAAGGGGGAGCATCCAGATGAAATCACTGCTCTCTTCCCTGTTGTCCCATTCCTTCAGGTGCTTATCAAGTCAGGCACAAGGGATGTCTAAAATAAAAATAGAGTTTACCAAGCTTCATCTTTCAGTGGAGAAGACGGTAGTATTCACACCTCCCTTATGCCTTGGCTTTGGGTTAGACCCCAGCCTTATTAATGCTGAAACAATACAACCAGCTTTCTTCCTCATTGCATCGGTGCTCTTCGGTACTGTCTTGCCTTCCATCTTCACGTGGGGAGTGAGAGGCATTGGTGTTTTCTATTTCTTTCTGTGGTTTGGCAGAAACCTCTGTAGAGCTCTTTTCCCCTTATGCTTTAGAAATGCAGGGTGTTGAGCCAGGAGCAGAGGATCTGGGCTGGACTGGGACTGAGCGAGGAGGAAGCCAGAGGAAAGGGGGTGGACTAGAGCAGAAATGTCTGTCAAGGGTGGGGACGTGTCAAGGGTGGGGACGTGGAACCGAATAGTGCAGGTGTAATAGCGCCGCATGTAGTCCAGACCTTTTTAGGTGCCTCTTGAAACTCCCTCCGCTCAGGGCCACCGAGCAGCATTCAGAAATTCTTGCAGAAGCTCCTTGCGTGCCTTCGCCTTATTGCCTCGGTACCATAACTTCAGCGGTCCTGCAAGTCTAGTAAAATTCAGAAATGTTCGGCAGCTCCTGGATTTGGCTGGAATGGTCCATGTGGTATCTTAGCAACAGAAGTCATGTTTCTCTTTGTAGATGGGAACGATGTCTTTTCTTTTTAATGGTTCAGTGCTGCCAAACATGGCTTTGACGTGAGACCGAATCATCCGTGTTTCAGGGATGCTGCTGCGATCCCACAACGGCTCTTATTCTGCTGCAGCCTAGCTCAACTCTGGTAGTGCAAAAGCAAACCCAGAATCCAGGGTAAATGCAAGAGCAGCTGATGGCGGCAGTGGAGATATGGGTCGAGGGATGTTGTGGTGGACCTGAGGTTTTTCTGAGAAGCGTTTGAACTTTGCAAGATTTACACTAAGTGGAAAGCAGGCCAACAAAACCTTGTCCAGTTTTCCTGGGCTGCAAGTTGCATGTAAAACCAGGCTTTCCCCACTATTCAACATAACGCGGGCGTTCATGTGTTATATTTCATGCTGGAAGTCACTGATGTGGGAACTGGGAAGTATTGGTGCTTGCGATTCTTGGCTGGAGGTCCGGCCCTATGAGTTCGGTGAGATCCATAAATATTGAACTTCACTCTTTGGGTTTACGCTACCTGGCTATTCAGAGATCTTGCTCAGTTCTTCACCTTCTTTGCAAGCTTGCCCTGGGTTTGATGTACAACTTGGGGGGAATGCTTGAGGGAAAGCAGTGCTTCATTCATTGTTCCAGAGTCGCGGTCAGGAATATAAAAGGGCATTTCAGAGAAAACAAGTGGCTGGTGACCACTAACTAGTTTTGATCTGCTGGGAACATGCAGTGTCTAAAATATGGAAGAGAAATAACCACCTAATGGACAGCATCAGCTGGGCGGTACATAAAATATATGATAGTGGGTGTGCCTACATGTGCATTTATGCCAGCTCAAATTTACTGCACAGTAAATTACTGTGCAGTAAACAGGAGTAGGCTGGCATCTACATGTGCAGGCATTAAAGTGCATTAATGCTGTGTGTGGACTGACTTGGGACTAAAGTTAGTCCCAAGGCAGCCCATACACACAGTGTTACTCTGGCATAAGGTGTCTCCATGTGTGTTACTAAGCAGTAACTAATCAGGCACGATGCAGGTATCAAATTTACGCTCAAGTTGGGATAAGTCACCATGTTTACTGTTCACATATAGACATGTGCCCGTACTGTGCGGTAATTTTGGTTGCTGTGCAGTAAATGCACACATGTAGACATGGCCACAATGAACAAGCAATGTGGGGATAACACAGAAAGCAGCCAGTTTCATTGGAGATTTACACATGGTCCTTGGGCAAGCAATCCCGTCGGACAGGGCATTAATTGTATTTCCTTAATGAAATTGCATGCCACTAATAATGCAGAAAATGGACAGTGAATACAGCAGCTGCTCTGCGTCGTTTGGATAATAGTGTAACGGGGGAGAGTCGCTTTTCTGTTCAAACAGTGACAGGTTTCCATCTTGGAGGTCTAAAGCAAAAAGGTCAAGTACCTGTTTTTAAACAGTGTTTGGCTCCCTCGCGTTTATCCTCTTCACAACTGGAGAGTGGCACTTACTGCTCTTTTTAGAGAACAAGATAGCAACATGTGGTTACCAGCAAGATAAATAACAGAGCCCGCAGCATTTAGACCTACATCCCAGCAGCCAGGACACACGCAGAGCCCAATCCTGCAGTCCTTGCACTGGCACATCCTCCCACACGACCTTGCAATGTGTAACCTGGTGCAATGAGTGAGAGCCCAGGAACTGTGCAAAGGGCTGGGGGAGTCGGTTTTGGAGCCCCAGACTGCACACAAGTCTCTTTTCTCAATGATTACGTTAACTTTGTGGTTATAAACACAGAGGGTGAGACCCTCAGCTGGGTTATGCAGCTATAACCAGGGCTGGATTAACCCTTTAGTGGGCCCTAGGCAAACGAACTCATGGGCCCCTACTCAATACTGTATATTTATATTACTTTTTTCACTCAATAATTATACTATGTAAAATAAGCACAACTGGGCCCCTTCTTCACTTAGGGCTTTGGGCATGTGCCTAGTTTGCCTATGCATTAATCCTGCCCTAGTTATAACTGCTTGGAACTAGACCAGCCAAGCTAACAGGTTATAGCTCCTACCCCTGCATATGTAAGGGAGGTTTTGTGACTGCCAGATGAGCTTATATCTGGAGCTGAAGTTACAGGGCATAGCACAGAATGTGTCTGTGTGCTTGCTCTGAGTGCCCTGGCTTCTGGGTATTGCTCATGATGCCAACACCCATCTTCCCTGTTTCACCCCAACGGCTGAATAGCTGTCTCTGGTTCCAGCAGCAGTCGAGGTCAGCTGGAGTTGTCTTGCGCCTCTCTAAATTTGAGGTATGGAGGCAGGGCCATTCTCGCAGTGGGGATTTTGTCTTTGCCTCCTGGCCTAGGAAAGCTGGGATGTGTTGTGCCCCGGGACCTGGTGAAAGTGCTGATACCTGCCGGGTACCTGGGGTGATTCTTGGTCTTCCATACTAGAGGAGATCCCATGCTATAGAAGAACTGATGGCTTCCCAGCCCCTTTGTACTGTGGAAGCTGCAGAGAAAAGGTAAAAGAGGGTTGTGATGGAGTCCTCCAAACCTCATCTAAATAAGACTTTGGGTAAATGCTTGTTGTTACTGTTACTGTCCATTTATATCATATTTGCTTGAACTATTAGCAGCCTGCTCTGCACAGTGGTCTAACACCCTTCTTTTTCAAATCTCTTTCATAGCATATGTTGTGGGAAGAGCTCTGGGAGAAGGATAGAGACACCACCTGATGGGCTGAGATGCTTTTAGGGGTGGGAGGATGTGGGGAGGAAGGCACTGCGGACGGCAGCACCGATTAATTCAGTCTTTTCTCGATTTCCTCACAGGGTCCAAGTAGAGTTCTATGTAAATGAAAACACCTTTAAAGAGCGACTCAAGCTGTTCTTCATCAAAAACCAAAGATCAAGTAAGTGTTTGCACCAAAACTCTCCTTTAAAATCCTTCTTTTCCAGATAACTATAGTCATGTCCATCTGTAATGACATGGGGGAGAAAAATATGAAATTGTTTAACTAGCTTCAAAATACACCAGTGACTTTTGTTGGTTTTCTTACATTCTTGCTTTTGTTTTTTCTTTTCTTTGTTCGTTCTTTCTTTAGTCTTTTCTTGTATTCTGTTCTTTCTTTCTTTCATTCTTTCTTTTGATCTTTCGTTCTTTCTTTAATTTTTTCTTTAGTTTTTTCGTTCGTTCATTCGTTCTTTCTTTTTTTTGTTTCTGCTGGTTCTCGAATGGAAAACTTGCACCATCTAGTGGTTACCATTTGCAGTCTTGTGCCCTTGACACCACTGCTTCCAGCGGATCTGTTTTCTGATATTAGGTTTTTGACGTACTGTTCCTCAGCCTGAGCAGTAACGTTGCTGTATGGTAGCCCCTGTGCCAATTCTACACGTAGCAGACGCCGGATTAATGAAATTCATCTGTGAAAGCAGATTGGTGTGGGAGTGGGTTTCCTCTCTTTCTGAAGAACAAGGCTCCACAAGGAAGATGGGAAAGCAGGATGTATTTTTGCCATCAGCATCACAGGCATTTGTATGGCGTTCTCTACTACAGCGTGCAAGGGCAATTTACAGGGGGCCAAATTGTGAGTTATACTGAGCACCATTAATACCTGCTCATACCACTGGAGCTCAGTGCCTCGAGGTCTGCAGGAAGAATGATTGCCCTGATTGCAGTGAGCCAATGCTCTAACCTGCCCAGAGTTTGGAGGGAAAATTCAGATGAAAGGATTCATCACAGTGATGTCAGTAGTTTAATAAACAGGCTGGAGAGAGACATAGATTCTGGTGAGAGTGAATATTGTAGGGGACAGATGGGGTGCAGTGACATATAGTGCAAGATGAATTCACGTGGAGGCAAGGTGCAGAGAAGGGCTATGAGGGTGGAAATGAAGAGCCTGTTGTCTGCAAGGGAATCAGCAAGCCTGGACTGGTTTGGCCTGAACGGGGACATGGTGGCTCTCTGCAAATATATCAAGGAGCAAACAGCAGGGAGAAGAGCTGCCAGCTAAAGGGAAGTATTGGCACAAGAACTGATGGGTATAAAATGACCATGAATAAGTTTGGCCTGGAGATGTAGAAGATGATTCCTATCCATTGGAGCAGTGAGGTTCTAGAGTAGCCTCCTAACAGGAGTTGTAGAGACAAAAAAACCACCACTCTTTTGAAGATGAAGCTCAATAAATTAATGAAAAGGATTGTGGTATGCGTTTGCCTGTGACAGGAGGGGCCTGGACTGGTTGAACACAGAAGTCCCTTCCAGGCCCACATTCCTATGTAAGCCCATTCTTTGCAGTGAGTCTGTTGCATTAGCAATGAGCAGCACAGTGATGTTCGTATGCATGTACCCCGAATGCAAGAAGTCCTCTCATTGGGACCTAAGCACGCATATAGATGTTAATCCAGGGGGAGTGCAAAGCTGAGACTGCAGGTTGGGTGCATTTGGTTTTGCATGTGCACCTTAAACAAGGCCCAGTGCTAGCAGGCATGATTGTCATGGCATTTGGGAAACTCTCTGGCATAGCCTGATAGACTTCATTGTCCCAGCCTCTTTCAGCCTTGGGCTAAACATTTGAATTTTTACTGCTTACTCTGGCTGTGGGCAATACCTATCCCAGGCTAGTTCATATTGAAGCTGAGGGCTCTGTGTCAGTCCCACATGAGCTCCATCCACCTCCCGTATTTCCTTGTCTAGTGCTAGCACCACGAGCAAGGGGCCCCCCTCCTCTATTTCAGCCCTCGTGCCTCTCCTCTTCAACTCCACAGACCAGATTCCACTTGAATACCTTTGGCTTCAGTTTCTGTCAGAGATAAAGCATTAATTGCCTGGAGGGAATTAACAAGTGAATTTATAATTTCATGTTTCCTTTTGATTGGTGCATCTCGTGTTCTTGTTAAATAGCTGGAGTGTGGCAGGACAGGGTGCCCAAGGGAAGAAGCATTTAATGGAAATGTGGTGAATTTCTAACTTGCAATTTGAGTAATAGCCTGATGATCCGGCTGGGGAGAGGAGGAAGTGGATAATGTGACAGGTTTTTATCTCCCATTTCTCCTTCAGCAAGGCATTAAGCAAATGGCGAGCAATGGGTGGACTTCTCTCATTTATAAGCGACCTTTTCTTTTGTTACAGGTGCCAGCTTCTTCTGGGCTAAGAAGCCCACCTCCCTCTCCAACATTTTGGGGGCCTGCAAAGAGTTGACTCATTTCATTTATTCCCTTTTTGACCTTTGATTTCTTTGAAGCTGTGTAGGATGCCGAGTGAAGCACGCAAGCCCGGAGAAAAGTTTGTGCAGCACTCCGGGTCTCCTGGAAGCCACACTAGCAGCCGGAAGGGCAATGATTAGGCATCCTACCACGTATGCTATAATAAGTAGCACAAATTATGGTGTTTGTTCATTCTTGCACTTAAAGAATAATGGATGTTTTAAATACTAATGAAACAGATATTCCAAGTATGGAGTGCGGCTGACAGGGCTTTGGTTATTTTTGTATCCCATCATGAGCAGCGTGGTCTTTTAGAAAGCCTTAAATGCGGAGTTCACTACAAGTTTCTGGCAAAATCAGCAGGGTTTGCAAAGGTCGGAAGGTAAGAGTGCATTCAGAGACCTAGGGCCAGACCACACCGCTCTGCCAGTTTAGTCAGGCTCTGAGTCTGTGCTCCGGCATGCCTGCAAAAGTGAATTAATAGTGCTGCCTTTCCTTCATTTCACAATATACATAGTAAACCCAGTCTGTCCCCTGTGTTTTCAGTCGCTGGTGGGTGCAGAATTCGATGCCAGGTGGAGTTGTTTCCTTCAAGCACATGTCCCATAACTGTCAAAAGCCATTTCCAGTGAAAACCATAGACCTGAAGCCCCCATTTGATGTTGCACCTGTGCAGAGCCTGGCTGAACTTGAAAGCCCCCGCAGTCACCCACCGCAGACTTCATTGCAGGACTGAGGACATGTTTCGCACTTCTGCAGAACTGGTCGAGCCTCTGGAGCAGTGATCCTCAACCTGGGTGCCTTGAGATCCTTTCAAGGGTGCCATGGGGCACCACGTAATATTAGCGCTGTTAGGGGTGTAAATGCGATTTACAAAGATTTCAGAGATTGGGGGTCGGACTTGATGATCTGCTTAGGTCCCTTCTGACCCTAGCTACTATGATACAAATGGAAATCCATCATGCCAACAGCTTACTGACCTGCCGTTGTGGTCTCTCTGACTTCTTTGCAACAGAAGAATTGTTCTAGTATTTGTCTCCAGTCAAAAAGCAAGTGAAAGCTAAGAGCTGGCATTTTCCAAGGGGGACCTTGAGTTTAAAGAGGGATGCCTTGATTCTGACATAAGCTGCCTTGAATCTAAAAAAGGTTGAGAACCATTGCTTTAGAAGCTTGACTTTTACAAGTGAAGGTCCGTTGACTTGGCAGGAGGTGCATCCCCTTCACCTGGTGCAGACGTAGCCTGTGGAGCTCCCTGCCACAAGGCAGAGCACAAGACCAGACAAGAAATCAGGATTAAGAAGCAACTGGAATTCATGTGTCTAGGTGGGGAGTTATAACAGTAATAGTAAAAACAATGTGGGGGGGATCTAAAACCTGCTGCTTCAGGGATCAAGCCAGCCCTTAACTAATGAGGGTCAGGAGAACATCTTCATGGTTGTCAGGTTCTCACAAAGTGCAGGGCTTGTTGCAGCTCCCACAGAGGCATCTGATACTGGTGGTGGTGAGTGACCAGGGGCTGGGTTGCATGGTCTGCTTGTCTCATCTTGAGTCCAGTGACCCATTCGATTGCCCTACATGCGCGTGCATCTTTTTATATGTCTATGATATATGAGCAGCCTTGCATTGGGGATCTTTTACTGGCTGTGTGTTTCCCTCTTTCACTGCCTTTTCACCCCTTGTCTTTTCTGCTACAGGCCTGAGGATACGGCTATTCAACTTTTCTCTGAAGCTTCTCACCTGCCTTCTCTATATTGTACGTGTCCTGCTCGATAACCCAGCAGAGGGGATAGGATGGTAAGTCTGTCTGTCTAGTCTGTTCACAGCTAACCTCAAGTTTTGTTAAACTTCCAATAGCACATCATGATTTGAGCCAACAAACTATCAATTCATGGATCTGGAAATGCTTTCAGATCTTCCACTGTATTTGCCCTTCAGTGGCCAGTAACCAGTCCCAGATAAAGGCAACTCATGTTCTGTCCTCCACACCATAGTTCTGCATCTGCAGATGGGAAATAGCAACAGGAGAACAGTTTGAAAAGCAATTTCTATGCTAAATGTGAGGACTGGTACTGGTATTGGCAGTGTGTTTGTTTCTACCTCGTTTCCTGTTGCTTTTTACCCAGGCAAAAATAGGGCTGTTTCTCCAGCCTTGTTGCATTCTCTCTTTTTAAGTTGTTGTTCCTCTAATATGCATTTTTTTGGCCTCTTAGCAGTTGACTTGAAATTAAGGTATAGGGATACTATTGCAAACTGTATAGAATTGCCATGCCATGCATGCACTATCAGGTCTAGCCACCTGCACACCCATAGTATGCAGAAATCTGAACCAAGGGTTTTCAGCACTGTTATAGATGTCCAGAGCTCTGCTCCTTGATCAAAGGGAGATGTTCCTGCATGTAGATCCGTGTGATTTCATCCAGAAGACGATAATGGACACTGATTAGAGCATTTAAAATTATTTCACCTAACCTGCCTCTAGCAGCATTTCTCTTATGCAGGGGTGGTATTTCTCCTTCTGGCCTTTTCTGACTATCTTCTTCATCTAACCTACTCCTAAAGGATGCTACTTAAGCCGGAGGTATTCACTTACGCTGCGTAGCTGGTCCAATAAAATATATCACCCTAGGAAATCCTTGCCTCTGACTATCTTAAATATTTAAAATCCTTGTTCATTCTTCCCACTCTGTTTTAATTAAAAAGAAAATCCCCAGTTATCTAAATAGATTTACCAAGTGGAAGAGAGAATTCCTGTAACCAGCACTACAACCGTCTGCCTCTCCATTTCTGCCCTCCCTCCGCCTTCACCCTGATTTATCCTCTACTTGCAGTGATGATGGGGACCATAAATTTAAATGTCTGAGGTCTTCTCATCTGATGATCATTACAATGACACATCTTTTATTCTTAGTCTTACTTTTACTCTGATTCTTCGTCTCAGTCTTATTATGAGAATCAGTTATGGTGGACATTTTATGTCAGCCTCCTGTGCTGTCATTGCTATTGGACTTGAAGTCATTGGACCCTGCAGAAGTTGGACATTTTTAATGTATGTTTGTTCAGCTACAGAGGACATTGATGGACCGCGCGGAGTGGGATGAGCATGGGTGTGTTGGGAGACGGGGTTGGGTACCCCATCTTGGAGATAGGGATGGAGATGGTCTAGAAGAGACTCTGTTTCCAGACACTGAAGAACTATTTGCCAAATGTATTTTGCAACACAGCTGTCATTGCCTCTCCCCGCGGCCCTTTTCAGCAAGCCAACCTTTCAGCTGAAGTTGTAGAAGTACTTCTGATTTCCCTTGAGTCCTTAGAAGTTCTGTTTGAAATCCATTCAGACATTTCTGATGTAAGTGGTTTTTTTCCCCACCTTCATCCTCTTCCTGGAAGGGTTGAAATGTCAGTGATGCATGGAGATGAAAAATAAAGCTACGTGTTAAGGAACAGGGGAGCGCTATCAAAGTTTTTCACAGTGGGAAATGGCAACGCATAGTTCTGGATAGCTATGTATCTCTTCATCAAAGAAGTGAATACAACCATCAGTCTGTGCAACACTTAGTAGTCGAGCCACTGTCCTTGCAGACATGGAAAGGAAGCAGTGTTAGCAAGAATCTCACTCCTGCTGTAGTTAGCAAAAATACAGGGTGGATGTCTTGTGGCATCTTGTCATGCCTCATTGTCTGAGACTCCCTGAAGCAAGTGACTGTGTTCCCCAGCCTTTCACGACGCACTTGAAAATAAGCTGGATGGGAATTTCAGAGGACAGGAAGAAACATTATCCCAGAGTCAGGGAGAAACATTGTCAGTCGGATTTTTCCGAACATGTGAAATTTTTGGGGGGTCAAACTTTCAAATGATGTATTGCAGCCTGTTCTATAAACTGGCCAAAAAAACAGCAAGAAAAAGAGAATTTCATTGACAAACCAAAATATTCGTGACAAGCGAAAGTGTTGCAGTTCTGGAAGGCCATGACAGTGCTCCATGGTGTCTTGTCCCTTCATCTCCCTTGGTGCGTTGTGGCGCTGGCTGGCACGTGGAAGCCGGTAACACCTGAGTTCCATCTTCCATGAAGCCCTGCAGCAGCATTTTCAGAATATACTTTTTTTTCTCGCTAAAACCTCCCATTTTTTTCTCTGAAATAAACCCATTTCCTGATTACCCTGTTATGGCTGCAATTTTGCTAATAGGTCAGACAGTGGGTTTGTGTAGGATGGTTTGGATAGCGTTGGTAGGGGGTTGGTCTAAATGACCTGTCACGGTCCCTTCCAGCCCGACTTCTCTCTGAGTCTATCATCACCTTTAATTTGTATTTCACCGTTTCCCCTCCTGGTGTGTTGTGACCCTCTGCTCACAGGTCTTGTTTAGCAGTGACAGGAAAAAAATATTCTGCGTATGAGCTCCTTTCACCTCCGACTTCAAAACGACTCTTCCATTTTACTGAAATGCATCATTCAAATTGCCTTTGGACATGGTGCAAAAGCACAAGATTTCAGTGCCGTGCCAAGCAAATGTTTTCCGTATGTTGACATTTTTAAAGGCTCTGACTCTTAAGTCCTGATTGAAGCCTTGTGAAAGGAAATACGCTTGGCCGTTTCGAGACCTGAGCTGACAGGCAGTTAAATGCCCCAGCTTTGCTGTTTCCATTTTGCATTTCCTTGTTTTGTTGACTCTTGAGAGAAAAGCAACGTCCCTGCAGCTTGATGAGAAGAAACAAATTCCAATTTCTCTTGCCAGAGAAAGCCGGGCTAATTAGAGACCCTCTAAAATCGCCTTTGCTCTTTCTAGGTGGATGTAGTCCTTTATGTCTGCCTACACCAAAGAGCACATTTGGAAGAGGGACTTCATTACAAGGGGCATTTGCATTATCGAAGGGTGTTTTCAGATCCTTAGGACTTGATGGGCACAACTCGTGCTGCCACCAGTAGAAACTTCCTCAGCCTGACGAAGGGTTTTTAAACTTAAAATTTTTTTTCCCAACTATTTAAGTTGGTCTACTAAAAAATAAATCCACCCGAAGAACCTTGTCTGCCAATAGATTTTACACTTAAAAAGAAGAACTAGCAGCTTGTAGCAGAAACTCCTTCCCCGGGTTGGGACAAATGATCAGCCATGGGCACGTAATAAAAGCTGGTCAGCAGCACAAGTGCATCCTCTCTTGCTGAAGACCTGGCTTCTGTCCCCTCCACATGCTTGTCGTTGCTGTTTGCCTGGCTAGTTATTCTGGAGGGCAGCTACCTTATCCTAGAAATAAAAGATCCATGGCATCTTCTCTTTGCAGTGATGGTTTATTCAGAGACAGCTCCAGCAATGCTAGATTTGACAACACTAACAGCCATCCCTGGGGAATACCTATGCTCTACTTACTCTTAGCTCCCTGTTGGTCTTCCCCCTTCATTTCAGATCACTGCTTCTGCCTCTATGGGATGTACAGCCCCTTCTTTGCCTGCTGGAGGACAGCTGCCCATGTCCTTATTCAATAGGGGGATGACTTTCAAGACATCCGAATGACTTCACCTTTAGGTCCCATTGAAAGGCAATAGGTTTTAGGCAATGGGATTTAGGCGCTCTGGAGTATGTTACCCAATGATGTTTTCAGCATTGCGATGGAACAGAGATGACAGCCCACAAGCCCAGAGGGGAAGCCAAACCTGCCGTTTATTCATTTATTCACTCTCTGCTGGCATCTGGCGCACAGCGTTTAGACTTTTAGAAACCCGTTATCATGCACTAATGAAAGACCCAGTTGATTCCTCAGCCCAGTGGCAGGTGTCCTGGAAAGGGTATTTGCAATGAACTCTTGCAGTTCCTTATAACATCACAATCCCTATTTTCAGCAGGGAGCTGCCTCCATAGTAAATTGATCAGAAGGGCATAACTGATTGCCACAGTATCGAAGCGTCTCCCAGTCTGTAGCAGGTTTAGCTGCACTCCACGCCGTGCGGGATGGAAGTGTTGTTGTGTCAGCCCCACGTGATGGGTACCTGTCTGGCCCCTGGCTCACTCAGGGTCATGTGGGTGATCCACAGCAGAGCAGGGCTCTCCCATTGCCCTAAGCTAATGACCTATTATAGGCCCCATCTTCCTTTCCCTAAGTGAGCAACTCGCTTTGCACCAGAATCAAATGGCCTTTTCGAAGCCAGCTGTATCTTTCTCAGATGTGTGCATGTCTCTGAAATGCTGGTTGGCGCACTGCAGTCGTCTTCTCTCTCTCTCTTTCCTCTCTGCTCCCACAACCCACTTGTCTAAGATGCTTCCTGGGGAAGAGTTACGCTGTCTGGCGCCAAACGCATGTGCCAGACAGGATGATTCATGTCTTGCACGCATTTCCATTTCCCTTCCTCAACATCTTGGGGTTCTTCGAACTTGGTTCGTGGTCAGCTGTCCCGGAGAAGGGAAAGACAGGCTTGGTTTTATATTCTGTTGCCAAGAATTTTAATTAGTGGCTCAGCTTTTTACTTTAGATTGCCCTAGGGAAAAATGCTATTAATTTATGTTTCTTTGCCTGCTAAACCAGTGCAGCGAGGTTACCTGCATTACCTGGTCTGGATACAGGTTGCGTGCCAGCAGCTCTGAGGAAAGTCAGTGGGATCTAGAGCCCTTTGACTTCTGGCGCTGTGAATTAAAAACAACACTGAGAGCTTGGTAGGACTACTCATACTAAACCACACTGCATATAGGAGGGGTTTCTGCAGTTTCCAGCATCTGCCTCCTTTTTAGCACACTATTTTTTGTGTTGACATGCCTTGCCTTGCTTCGGGAGGTTAAGAGGCAAACTGTGTTTAGCCATGACGTCAGACTGGTTGCATCTCACCTGGTTTATGTGTCTCTTGTCTTAGCTGGGGATGCGAGAAGCAGAATTACACGACCTTCAACCAGTCCACAGATATCAACTGGTAAGACGCTAACAGCCTGCACCTCCAGCTCTGCTCTAGCTGCTTGCTGGGAAACCCAGGGCTGTGAACTGATGCTTGATGTCTGCTCATAAGAACCTCTTGTTCACAGAGATGCATGCATGGGGGCCCTCGCACATAAGCATGACTTCCCCAGTTGCTCCTACTTGCATGCACATATCAAATGCTGAAAGGTGGGAGGCTCTCCAGAGGCCCCTTTGTGGCTGCTCTCAAGCCCACTGGAGATGCAGATCTCGAGAGAGACAACAGGACTGTCGTGTTTGTGGGTTTGCGATCAGGAGTGGGGTGGTGGAGCACGGCTGAGAAAGCCCCTGGGCTTAGATCCACTCTCAGGGTCTCCCCAGGGATTCGCTTTTTGTTGCTAACATTTTGGCAAAGGGAACTACTGTGAATTAGATGAGCCAAACCCAAACTCTAGCTCGAACTAACTCCCACCAGAGGAAGAGATTCAGATCTGGATATAGACTTTTCACCTTTGAATGTGAATATTATGGCTGCAAAAGCCAGCGCACAGCTGATGTTTGCATTTCAGCTTTTTCCCTTGGGCAAAGCAACAAGTTAACATGAATGCCAAGTTGGAAACTGTTTGATTTTTTTCTTGCAGGGCTCCCATCTTATGGGTGGACAGGAAAATGCCACTCTGGGCCATCCAGGTGAGTGAGTAACCCTGGGGTTACACTTGTCCTCCACAAGTTGTGTGGGGTTGATGTTGCTGAAGGTTTATGCTCTCTGGGAACGTGCAGGCAACGGGATGGTTTGATTGGTCAGTGAGGCGGCCTCAGACTCTTTAGATCAGGGGTCGGCAATGTTTTTGGGCACCCGCAACCTCAACTTGTAAGATGTTGGCATGCCAAGGGTGGGCAGCAGGGAAGCCACGAGGGGCCCAATCCTTGTTGTGGCAGCACAGCCTCAGCCCCTTCCCCTCTGTCCAGCCCAGGGTGCACATGCCAAGCAAAATGTCTTTGTGCGCCACAACCTGGCACCCATGCTGGGGGTTGCCTACCCCTGCTTTAGATGATGCTTCAAACCGAGCCCCAGACAACGTTTTTCTTTGATTTTATTTTTCAGGTCAGCATTGCTTTAATCAGCTTTCTAGAGACCATGCTACTCATCTATCTCAGCTACAAGGTAGGTCCCTCCAGAGAATGGAGCATGACCCCCCCACTTCCAGCTCCCACTGAAATCACTACAAGTCCTTACTTCCCTTTCCCTGCAGCCGTGGGTCTGCTGGGTACAGCTGGGCAATAGCTTCCCATACAGCTTGACTGCGGGTGGTTGGAAATTAAAACCTGGATTAAATCTGCAAGTGGCCTCAGTCCATTATTGTGGGTCAAAAGGAAAAAAACCAACCAAACAAAAGCCAAGCCCCAAGTACTTCGGGGGTTTCAGAGTATTAAAAATCTGGTGCTGGCTCTGGACCTGACCTCTGCAGCTGGAGTTTCATTTCTGATGCATTTTGAGTTTTCCCAACTCTCACTCATCACTGAGACCACTGAACTGAATCAACAGGCTGCTCTGCAGTCCCCACACCCAGGGAATATTCCTGGGAGAGGAGGCATCAAGTAACTTCATGAAGAAAATAGAAAGTTTCTTTGGGGAACTGGGCTGCAGACTCCCTTCCTGCAGCTTTGTCACCAGGGTTCAGTCCTGGACGGTGTCAAGTGCCTGGACTAGCAAAGCAAGTGACTGGCTTTGAGTTCATGAATCCTACTGACTTCAGTCCGGCATGTGCATACTCTGCTCTGCGGGAGGCCCAAGAGCCAGGCCTGTGGAAGCAATGAGCCCATGGAGAGCCGGTTTATGGCTTAGCAAAGTCTAGTAGAAATATTTCCTGTATTGGGGCACAGTCGGCAGTCCATGGGAGAGTTGGGAAGAAGCAAGTGTAAATGGTTCCCAGTGGAAGGACATTTGTTAAAGAGGCCTCAGCTGTTACATTAATATTCGATATCATTGTCTTCAAAGGACTGGCGGGAAGCCACAAAGCCTGTAATTTCCTTTGTACCTTGAGTCATTCAGTTCACACCAGCCATTTTATCTCCTTTCTATCAAATTCCCTTGACCGATTTTTTGTCTGCCGTCGCCACGCGATCCTCATCACCACTCAGGCAATTGCATTACGTCCTGCATCATTTTCTGGCATTTCCCGCAAAGGCGGTGATAGCGGGGAAGGGGCCTTTTTGGAAACCACATGGCTTTTTTCTTCTTCTTTGTGCAGCCCAAATCTCCCCACCTGCCCGTTACCCTGCATGACTGTTTGTGCCTAAGGACCACGGGATTCGTGTGGTCTCATCCCAGACCAGGAGAGCCACCTTGTGCTGATAAGCCCCTTTTAAAATCCATGGTGACAATCCCCACCCCCAACTTTCAGTGGTGTTGTGATCAGGGCAGGGTCGGGGCACACTCATGGCATGGTGTTAATGAACCTTTTCCTTGCTTCATTTGCTCTGCGGATGAGAAGAAGTCATCTTTGTGCAGGCCTGTCAATCTGCCCCCTTTTATCGCCGTTCTTCAGCCAGCCAAAGAACTGTGGCCTCCATAAATGCAGGACTCTCCAAGTCCACTGCAGCATTTTTCCTTTTTTTTTTCTGACCCATGATCTTTCTCCAGGCAGCTTAGGTGAACTGGATCTACCTGGATTCATGAGCAGCCGTCCTTTTGGCTAGGTGTGAGCCCCGTGTGCATTTTCAATGAGATTTGCAACCCTCTCTCATTGCCATGTGTCTGGGCAGGTCATTTGATCCCTAAAATTATATGTCACTCTAATCAGATGCTTCCACTGTCTAGCGTTTAGTATAGCGATTCTGTGAGCACACAGCGGAGAGAGGGAAGGGGCTGATTTTCCTCCCCTCTATAGACATTTCCACCAGCAAAAGTGAGTGCAAGACATTCGTTGTGGTCACATTTTGCACTGAAGTAAATGAGGCAATGGAGGATGAGATCCTACTGGTGATGTGTGATTGTGAGAGTTGTGCGACTAGGAGATGATTCTCCCCATCTTCTATCCTGCACTCACCACCAAACCATTGTGCAGACAAGAAAATGTATAGCAGCAGTCAGGCCGATTTCCTTCGCGCGTTTGATTCCTCAGCCTACCTTTGCTCTATTCGGCCCCGTGCTGGAGTCTGCAAGCAGGGAAAGCACGGTACCTTTTTTGAAATACAGCGTGAAATCCTTTTATCTGCTAGGGCTTTTGAATGAGGTGTATGTGCTTTTCCCCTCCAGGCAATGAAATGTCAACAGGTTTGTTACTTGCATTGTTGTACTATTGAGGATTTCCATTATTGACCTCCAGTGGTTTGTAGCTTTTTGCAAGAGGCCATCTGGACCTTAGTCCCTGGCTCAGGAATACGCCTTCTGAAAGCACCTACAGATATGCTTGTGTATTCGTTGTATGTATATCCAATATGTAAAATATATACAAGGAATATGAATGTTTTCAAATGCTTGATGAGTTCAGAGTAGCTTCTGCCACTTGCTGTTACCTTGTGCCTGCTGGAAAGTGCCCGGTACCCTTCTGCCTTCTATAATGCAGGAACAGTTGGAGGTGATTCACATTGTCTTGAATATTTTTTTAAGACTACTTCATTAACATTGGTCCCTTCTACAGGGAAACATTTGGGAGCAGATTTTTCGCATTTCATTCATCCTGGAAATGATCAACACAGTGCCCTTTATCATCACAGTGAGTATTGGCTATTGACACTTTTTAAACAAAGCAGATTTCAGTAAATACTACACTTTTATTATGGAACCACAAATAATAGGGGTCTATCCAAGACAGCAAATAGAGCTAGCCATTTTTTTTGTCCCCAAATTTTTGTCAATGGAAAATGACAGTGAAGTTGTTTATAATGAAAAACCAAAGACCAGAAACTTTTCAGTTTCCAAAAATTAATATATATTTTTTTCTCTATTAAAAAAAATGAAGCTTTTCTTCCCAGGGGAAACAAATGACATGTTTTCACTACTCCTTTTTGGGCAACAAAGAAATATTCATGGACCCAAAAAGCTTTGCAAGAGTTATTCAGGCAATACCATGTTCAAGGCTGCCTTTTTTTAAGGTTTTGTGTAATTGTAGAGAAGGTATAGATGGCATCCTGTGTGCCTGGCTGCTCTGAGTGAGCAGATCCTGATGGCTGGGTATCAAGGCTCCTGCACCAGCGCAAGGCTCAGTGCAAGATCAGGGTAACATTTGTAGCCACAATCCAGATCCACTGGTGGGAGATGTGGTGTGGACGGGAGCTGGGTGCTCGTACAGCTCAGTCACCAAACCTTGCTTCCGGCAAGACTGAATTCTGGCCGCCGAATCCACGAGCGCCAACCAAGACTCGGGGAAGTTGGAGACATCGCTGCTCTGGAGCTTGGCTGTCAGGGAGCGCATAGATCAGCGTAGCAGAAAGGATTGGGCACCACTTTGCAGTCCTGGCGGAGGCCCATTACACCCCTGTGTCCTCTGCCAAAATGCTGGAAATGAGATTCACAGCAGCCAGGCTAAGAATCGATTAACTGTTCAGAGCTTCCTTGAAAAAAGCAATGTTGATTTGATGAGTTGTTTTCCCACCCCCCTCCAAGCCAACCTGTAAATAATGGTTGTTTTCTAGATCTTCTGGGCTCCTTTGCGGAATTTGTTTATTCCGGTTTTTCTGAACTGCTGGCTGGCCAAGTACGCCTTGGAAAACATGATAGTAAGTAGCTGCAGATCACCGCAGCCTCCTTCATTAGTCAGAATAGCATTGTCTTAGTCTGCTGGCCGCTGCTTACCGTCTGCTTGTTTTACAGTTTCTCCCCGCATAGGAATGGCTATTTCAAATGTCCCCAGCCGTGCCTCAGCTCTGGGAATAGCCCAGTGCGCTCTGATTTCCAACTCACATAAAGAAGCTGGTGGCTGGACTGGCTTGGGAGCTGGCTCTGGGGAGCCTGTTGTCCTCTTGATCATTGGGCTGAAGTGGGGGACTCGGGGTGACCCTCTGGGCCCGGCATCGAGCTGCTCGGTGTCTGCAACGGAGGCCAGACTTCCCCATTCCCAGCAGCTCCCAGTAGAAACCTCCCTGGCAGGTTTTCCAAGCAAATCCTCCTATTCTTCCTTCCACCCCCTCTGCATCCACCTCATCACACAGGCTGGAGACCTCTGCTGCCTGCTCTCCTCCCACACCAGGCGGTCACTTGGTCATCTCTGTCCACCGCTGCATGCACCAATGCCCTTGTTTCCCCTTGGGCTCTCCCCTCAGCTGCATTCGGGGGTGATCAGAGGTCGCTGTCAGTGCAGAAGTGAGCTCAGACTGGGGGGCAGACTGGGCAAATCCTGTTATTTATGTGATGCCTGTCTCATTTCTTTCACCCCTTTTTGAAGTCAGGATGCTGCGGGGTATAACTGTGTCTCCCGCTGAGCGAGATGTACCTCTTTTCCAGAATGACTTGCATCGTGCCATACAGAGAACGCAGTCTGCCATGTTCAATCAGGTGCTGATTCTCATCTGTACCCTGCTGTGTCTTCTTTTCACGGGGTAAGTGATCCCCTTCTCGCCCCGACAAGTGACTTAGTTGCCGGAAATATGTGTTTTTAAAATATGCAGCACTGATTCATTTAATAGAGGGAAAACCTTGGGCCCATCCTACAAATGCTAATGCTTGTGTTAAGCTTGAAGTGCCGTAAGTGGTCACAGTAGGGAATAATGTGAAGCACATGCGGGTCTTTGCCGATCTGGGGGCTTCAGGACAAGGTGGTATAGGATGGTCTGACCTGGGAGTGGCAAAGCTATATTCTTTCTGGGTCACCTAGGCATGGCTCCTACTTTGATCTACCTGCTTCATAGAGGAAATTGCACAAGGCCTTACTCGGGCTACAGATAACCCAGCTTCCTGGGCAGCAAGCTGAGTCTGGAGGCTGCATAGCACCCTGGTGGCTTTTCCACCTGGTCTATGCAAAGCCGCAGCCTGAAGAGCAATAAGACAAATAGGCCTGGGTCTCCGATACAGGCAGCTCAGCAAAACCTCCTCATCCTTCCCTTCATCTGACCTGAAGTGACACTCCAGACTTTTGGAAGGTCACAAATCACTTTTGTTGTGTATCATTGCTTCTGCTTCGTTAACTTCATTGACAGAAACCAAAGCACTGTGGCATTAGAGTCACTAGGCGCAAGAACTGCCTGCGTGCGTGTTGGGTACATGGGCATCCATCCCATTGTGCATCTAACTGTCCATTTGCTTGAGCATAAGCCTGACTTAACTGCAGAATTGCAGCCTCTGCTTTTCTGTGTTGAAAGCCCGGGTGTCCTGCTTGCTGTGCGCCAATACAGTTGTAGCATCGGTATGCTTGGTTTCAACTTTCTTGGCTGGTTTTTTTGGAGATTGATTTTAGAACAAAACACTTGACGGTGTAGTAAAATCCCATACTGCTTGAGTTACACTCCTGGCTAGTAAACCATGATCATGGTTTGTGTGGTTGTAGTGACTTCTTTTCGATTACATTCTGTCTCGTGAGATTATAGGCAGGTAAAGCCCTTATCTCCACATTGGCTTCAGGCGCGGGGGTCTTTCTGCTTCACCCATCCTGAGTTTCTACTTCACACATGACTTTGGCATGTGGAGAGACGGAGCTGGGTTATTGCCTTGCAGACTCTCAAGGCCCACACTGTCTTCTCCACCTAAATAAGCAGAACTTGGCTCTTGGAAGTACTTGGCTTTCTCTTTTTCCCAAGAGCACTGGCCAAATACGACTTGAAAAGAAATAAGACCTCCCTTTGCCAGCTGTACGGTGTGTTGATGCCATTCACTAAAGCAGCTCGATAGATGCCGGTTTTCAGTTGTGCTTTGAAGGATGATCCCTCAGACGACAACGTGTGGCAAGATACAAGGTGGCCGGTTGCACTTCTGTTCCCCATGGATATGATCTGAGGCCAAATGCACTTTGAGGTAGTTAGCAACATTGTACAGCTGCTGGGAACAAAGGCAGAAGATCTATTGATTTTTTCTGACTTCTTTCCCTTCCCTTCATCTCTGCACAAAATGACTGGTTTGCTTTTTAAATAGTAGGAAGAAATATTGCTCCCCTCTGGATGGCCGTGTGTTAACAGTCAGCTAACCTAAATGGATGCAGTAGCCCTGGGATGGTTTAGAGCCGCCTCTGTAATTGGAGGCAGAAAGGCAAAAGCCTCTTAAGTGCAACAGTGCCTTTCTTCCCGTGTACTTACGCACCTTCCTAGGCGCTGCTTTTGGGTGGGAAGAGTCTTCCTAACGCGCCCAGCCCCAGGGGAAATGCGCTTGCAAGGGCCTCTGTTGAGATAGCAGAATTTTGCTTTTAAAGGGCTAATGGAAAAGCCATCAAAACAGAGTCCGTAACTCGTGGACTGCACTTTCCTAATGTTATTCCCTGCTGTCTTTGAGCAATCAAGAACAGCGTGGTGCAGGGAGTTGATTTTCCATGGCATTGAATGGCAGCTGGGAGGAGGCTTCTCAGTGCAATGCAACCACTTTGAAGCTTGCAGCAGGGATTTGGCAGTCTAGGCCCTGAGGCTGGGGAGCACTGCATATCCCAAGAAAAGCCTCATCCTCCACAGCTGTTTGTCCAAATCCAGTAAGATTTATACATCTGTCCATCACCGGCTGTATAGGGCAATCTGGTGTCAATACTTTGCCTTAGTTATTCAGGGCACTGCTTTCCAGCAAGTGTGAATTGGTTTTGGCTCCTGTGGAGCTGCCTCAATTTACACCAGCTAAAGCTGGCTGTAAATCTTTACAACCCATTTTTATAGGAAGTTTTCTTTAAAAAAAAAACAAAGCACAACAAAGCACAAAAGCTGTATTTCAAGCCTGATCTTTAGAGGTGCTAATGCCTGATAAAAGAGGCAGATGCTCACCACTGACTCAGAGCTGCTCCTTACCTTACTTTGTCTTCCTGCGCAGTCAGCTTCAGGCAGATCACTTCTTATTTTAGGAACTAATTATCATCTCTAATTACACGATTTTAACAGAAACTTTTTAATTGGAGCATGCCAGGATCAGGGAGGGTATTGGGGAGAGGTGGTTTATGGAAATGCGTGCGGCTCAGAGCGGAGCAACAATTGCTGCAATGTCAAGGGCAGCGCCAGTAATTTTTTCCCGGGGGGATTTTGGGGGGGGGGGCAGTCGCTCAGCATTGGCAGCTCATGCAGAAAGGTTCCCTGCACTTCGCGGTTCCCCTGTTTGTCTGTAGGAGGTTACCATGGCTGCCAAGCTCACGTTTGTCTAATATGCCAGGGAGGCATGTGCTAATTAACTGAACCTATTAGCCTGCGCGTTTGAAACAAGAGGGAGCTTTCCTTCTAAAAAAAGGGTTTTTTCCTTCTCAACTATTTAGCTTAGAAATGGGTCTTTTGCTTTTCCCTTCTGGTTTGTCTTTCAGTCTGAACATACCAACTATATTAGCGAGTGGAAAGAAAGTGGTGCTGCTGGGGGTGTAGATGCTTTAGGACTTGCGGCTCTTTTGGAATAAAACCAAGCACCTCGTATTGAAGGCTAGTCAACTTTTGGACTTATCTGTGTGCTTCTTCCTGTAGCAGCACTGCCCTCTTTGGTCTAGATGTATTTTCTTTGGCTCTTGCCTGGCACTAGAAGCAATTTCTCAGGTAGCTTCTGGGACGTTTCTATTAACTGTGATGGACTTAGAAACTCTGTGTGTGCCGAGTCATCCTGGCTGTTCTTGAGGTGAGAAGCTATTTGGCTTTGCCAGGTTTATTTCGGAAGAGAGCTGCAGGCAGAAGCGGTGGGGTTGGGGATCCAGCGCAGGCTCACTGAAGAGCCGTGCCTGAAGTCACTCGTCTAATTGAGAGCCCGTACCGTCTTCTGAGTCACACCGACGAGCGTGGTCAGGACTGAATGAGTTTCCTGTTTACCTTGCTGCTATAATCAGCTCCTAAAGTACTCAGGCCTCCTGACTCACAGCTCTTTGCCTCCCACCTGCATGCTTGACATATACACGGTTGCCCAATGCCTAGACTTTTGGGCCATGGTCTGATGAGCATCTTTGCAGAGTTGGTGGCTTATCCGAACCAAACAGGTGCTCTGAAGTCAAGCCGACTGATGCCTGTGCAACTGCACTGACAGTGCTGGAGTTACACTGGGGATGCATTTTGCCCCAGTAACTCCAGGCCAGGCGAGACCTCTTTCCAGAGGCCAGTGGAGGAGACTCCTCCCTACAGGGCAGGGTGAGCAAACCCATCCCTTGTGGGCCGTTGTCTGCAAGCCTGATTGATCCCTGTTCCCTTTTCCCTCTTCTCCAGAACCTGCGGCATCCAGCATCTAGAAAGAGCGGGCGAAAACCTCTCCCTCTTCAAGTCCTTTTATTTCTGCATTGTGACCTTCTCCACAGTGGGCTACGGGGACGTGACCCCAAAGATTTGGCCCTCGCAGCTCCTGGTGGTTATCATGATTTGCGTAGCCCTGGTGGTGCTGCCTCTCCAGGTAAGATCAGGCAGTGAAAAGACGGCTCTGGGTTAAGAACGGCAATGCTTCTGGCACGCCGCAGCTTGGGAAACACAGCAGCGGGAGGGTGTTTTCCACCTGGCTAGCCAGCTGAGTGGGAAGCGGATCAGAGACAGAGAAAGTCTCCACTTCAAGTTCAGAGGGAGCTTTGTTTCCGCTCTGCTGGGGAGCTGTCGACACCCTGCAGAACTACCTTGCTGGATGCAATACATTTGGGACAAAACAAGCCAGCATTGCCGCTCTCCCAGCCATCAACACGATGCAGCAATGACAGCTTTTGGTCTGGAGCATTCCCTCTCTCTCGTATCACTTAATGTCAGGTGAGGACATTGTGGACACGCTCTTAGAAACAAGCCTTCCTCTGGGAGCAGATATCATCATATCCTTCCTTCTCCAGCTGTCCTCAGATAGAACAAGTACAAGAATGTGACTAGGCTGGCCCGTGTGCTTTAGCCGGGCGCTGGATCAGTGTGCTCTGGAAAGGCAGGATCTTGGCCCGGGAGGCAGCTCCTGCCAGGAAGCGGCTGAGATGTCATGTAGAGGAAGCCTGGGAATAGATGCATCAGAGCATCGCGAGCTAAAAAATGTCACTCGTTGCTGCAGCACACGAGAGAGTCACCAATGTAATGAGAAGTGCTTTGTTCACGCTGCATTGTATGTTCATGGACTGCGATCCGTAGCAGCCTGAGGGGAAGGCAAACTGGGCAACCATCTGGGGTCCCAAAATTTTGCAACGATTTTTATTTGGGGGGGTGGGGTGAATTTATTAAAAACTTTGTTCTGTCTTCAACTTACAAATAAATGGCATGGATAGAGCAAAGTGAAATCGAAAATGTCCGGCTTGCTTATAGGTCATCAAAATGAAGCCTCTAAGGGGCTCCAAATGACTCTTGCCTAGGGCCCCAGCAACCCTAAGGCCACTGTTGCTGTGATGCATTCTTATTTTAATAGATTTTAACAGGTTTGCCAAGTGATGGTTTTTGGGTGAGGGCATTGCTGTGTTGGATGTGTGTGTGGCCCCTTGTTGTTTTGCCTTTCAGGTAAGGCCAACACGGGCATGAAAAAAAGTCTCCAGGTTCAGAAAGGCAACGTTTCTGGCATGCCGTGGCCTGTTTAAAGCTCCAGTCTGTGTGCATGCCCACACACACCTTTCCTACGGGCATTTGCAAGGCCTCTATCCCAATAGTGTTTTGCACTGATTCACACCTGCATATTTTTATGATCCATGGATGGATAATATTCTCCTTGTTCCAGCACTTCCTTTAACCGTGCAGATCATCTGGGCAAAATGGTGGCTGTGATCACCATACCTGTGATGCACTGTTTGTAGCAATTCAGGCAAGAGGGATCTTTGACTAGCAGCTCTCAGTGATCTGTGCACTTCTGCTTGCAGTTTGAGGAGCTTGTGTACTTATGGATGGAGCGCCAGAAATCGGGGGGGAATTACAGCCGTCACCGTGCCCAGACTGAGAAGCATGTTGTCCTCTGTGTCAGTTCCCTCAAGATCGACCTCCTCATGGACTTCCTCAATGAGTTCTACGCTCATCCCCGGCTACAGGTAAAGGCTGGGGTGTGTTATTTCAGCCCCTCCATCATTAGCAGTTGAACCAGGGTCCTTACTTGGCTTGCCGTGTCATTAGTTCTGTGTTGCTCATGTTCATGAATGTGCTGATTGGCACCATGGAGCTGCGAGAAGGTAAGCCAAGGAAACCTGGCAGGGATAGATACGTGGGCAAAAGATACCAGAGCAACTTAACCAGTCTTCAGCATAACCTGGCAATTGGATTTAGTTCCTTGGATAAAGCAAACAAGCCAGGATGTGTGTGCAGCTTAAAAGAAACGTGTGCTGTTGTTATCAGTCAAGATCCGTAGAGTCCGCCCCTGCCGTGCTACCACAGTGTTGGCCACAGCTTTGCCAGTCCATCTCAGGATTTTCTATAGGCGCTAATGCTATAATATTTTAAGTGCATAGAAAATGCCTCGACAGATGGACATTGTTTTCTTTTCTGGTTGTAGAAATACAAAAGGTCTTTATTGTAGCTAATGCCTTTGCACAGTCTTGTTGTACCCAAAAAGGGGCCCACCGGCTCCAAGTGGAATATCCAAGTCTAGTTGCTTCTAGCTGCCCTGTTACTTTCCACTTGCCCTGATACTTTCTGCAGACATTGGGAAGTGCATTTGGGCCTCAGTTTATCTAGCAAATGAGTGCAACTTTCAGTCCAGCCCCGCAAACAATATCCCACCGCCTCCTGAAACTGCATTTCATTCCAGAACCCATAACGCATTCATGACCACAACCATCCACCTTGCACCTGGACGTTTAATTTCCTAAAATTAACTAAGCTCAGAGCTCTGCTCTTTTGAGTGTATCGCTCTTTAATAATTCAATAGTCAGATGTGCCTTCATTAGATCTGTTAAGCGATGGTCCTCCAATGGTCACATAATGCCAGATGCCTGCTAGAATCACCGCACGTGTTTGCAGAGCATCGTGCTACTAGGGTTACAAATCGACACGGGCTTCTGTCTTGCAGGATTACTACGTCGTGATCTTGTGCCCAACAGAGATGGACATACAGGTCCGGCGAGTCCTTCAGATTCCTCTCTGGTCACAGCGAGTGATCTATCTCCAGGGGTCTGCGCTGAAAGACCAGGACCTCATGAGAGCCAAGTGAGTCGAGAATTGGGTTGTACACAGCAAGACCCCCCCAGATAGTGGGGAAGGGAGGCAAAACCCTACAAAGCTCGTGTCATGATTACCAGTGCAAGACCGGTACTGTAGCATTGATTGCCTTGGCTACAAATCTTCTTAGATAGGCAGGGGAGAGAGGTTCGCTCCAAATGCTCCGGCAGAGAGGCCTCTCTCACAGATGGTTGGCTGTAACAGCAGTCAGCTAAATTGTAGATTAAATCCTGGCCCTTTTAGTGCAAAGCTCCATCCTGTAGTTAGAAACCGTTATTGGTAAAATGAATGCTCTTTGTGTGCTACTGCCTGAAGATTTCCAGATGTGAAGGCAGAAAGATGCTGTTAAGAGAAACTACCAACATCTTTTAGGGAGACTCGGAGCTCAGGGTATTTTTAGCTGATGCTCGCAGAAAAGCCCATGCTGCACAGTCCTGACACCATGGCCTCCCAGGGCTAGCCTGTTATCCCTGTCCTTGTTTAAACAGGCATACAAACTTCATGGACCACATCCATCCATTTTCTATGGCAGTACCATACACAATTCTTAAAAGTGGATTTCACAGAAGTCAACTGTAGCCAGGCTCTCTTCATCCTGCCGATAACAAGAACAAGGGAGATGTAATAAGGGTGCTTAAAAGATGTCTTGAAAAGCTGGCAATTACTAGCTCCTTTTGTATCCACATCCTAACCCAGTAGCCCTGTTTTCAGAACCTCTCCGCTTCACCGGTTGTTAAGGCGCCTGGCATAATGGATCGAAAAATGTTCTCATTTTTGGATTCAATACAATTTGGATTCAGCAGCCAGCAGCAGAACCTGAAGACAGTAATCCTGAAGACAGTATCTCCTGCAAAGCTCACAGTCTGGTTACCCAGGGCATATTTTTTTCCTGCAAGCTGGAAAAAAAGGGGAATAATATCCCTGGGAAATCCTGCTTTTGTGAACTCTTGACTCAAACTGCAGGCAGTGGAAAAATAACAAGCTTGCCCTCCTGGGCTTTGTTTCACTCTGGTTGTCTTTAATTTCCTGGGCTGCTTGTCTGTCTGCATTGCCCTAGAAATCTCTCCTGAGTGAGGTTCCTCTCTATGTCCAATAGTGCTCTGTGCTAGTGGAGGCCTCTTTGGAAAAGGGAAATTTTAATTACATTTTTTAAAGGAAGAGAGAAACTGTATTGTAAGCTGATGTGCCTGGGGGGAAAAGAGGTGGTATCACATTAGGTCTCTTCTCTACTAAGTAGTAGGTAACCATTGATCTTTCTGGATCAGGGTGTGTGCAAGAGACCAGCTTGCTAACAAAAATAGCTACCATTGCTTCCTCCAGGAAAGCCAGTGCTAACAGCATGCTTCAAAAACATGCACATACCCTGGTTCTGCGTGGGTCTAGACTCTAAATGCTGCAGCTGCCATCCTTTGGCTTTTGTAATGTTGCTGCCTTTCCTGCCATTGATGTGGCTGAACAGATGGGGGTGCCCGCAGAAAGTTTTTGGCAGAAAGAGCTGGGGGCAAACAAGTCCTCTGAGTGTGGTGGGCAGAGTGCAGGCTCTATGCACAGAAGGACTAAGGCAGGCATTTGGGAGGCAGAGCTTGCCAAAGGGCTTTTTGCTACCCAAAGCTTTGATTAACGTCCGGTAGCAGGAGCCAGGCAGGCCTGGTAACAGCTGTAGGTCTTTCCATCTCCAGTATTCAGAAACAGCAGGCCCAAGCCCAGGCATCCTCTGCTTTTGCTGAAGGTAGATTGGGTGCTCCAGGGTAGTCTGCAAGAAGGGCCTTTTACTCCTACAGGTCCCCTTTTGAGACCTAGCCACTGGCTTGACGCAAACTCAGCTCCATTTCTGGAGGGGCAGGGGCTTGGCTTTCTTCTGCATGATTGCAAGGGTTGGACATGGCACCTAATGTACAGCCAGGAACCTGGGTGCTTGTCTTTGTTGGGTATTTGGCCCCCAGGTGCACAGAGGAGATGCCCTAGCATAGACCCACTCTGGGGCAATCTGAGGATTTTATTACACAAAAGGCTCATATTTTAAAAGTTTTAGTTCATCGGAACAATCAAAGTGTCCTCATCTTATTAAACCTAAGATAGTAATTAAGCCAAGCCCAGGCATTGTTTAATCATAGACTCACAGACAGTGAGGTTGGGAAGGGACCGCAGGAGGTCACATCTAGTGTGACCCCCTGAAGCAGGACCAGCCCCAACTGCATCATCCCAGCCAGGGCTTTGTCTAGCTGGGTCTTAAACACCTCCAAGGATGGAGACACCACCACCTCTCTGGGTGACCTGTCACAGTTCTTCACCACCCTCCTCATGAGAGAGTTTTTCCTACTATCCATCCTCAACTTCCTTTGCTGCAACTTGAGCCCATTGCTCCTTGTTCTGTCATCTGCCCCCACTGAGAACAGGTTCAAGTCCAGGCTCGTTGTGAAGCCAGGTTTAGTTGCACCGTGGCTCTGTGTGGTGGGGGTGAAGCTGGGCTGCAGATCCCGAAGTGTAACGCACAGCGCCTTCCTGCACTAGCTTTCGTTAATGTTCTCATTTAGCAGCTTGTAATTTGTTGCCTTGCAATAATTACACAGGTCAATGTGAAATGGCCTTCTTGCATGAATTGTGATGCTACTAGCTCTGCTCTTGATTATAACCTGTTTATAGTAAAAGGGCTAGGATAAGGAAAAAAGGGCTGAGACCCAGGTGATGACAGGAGTATCCATATTTGTACCTTCTCTTAAATTGCTGAAATCTGGCCAGGAGACTTTCTTGTTGGGGCAGCATGAGAAACACCATCCTGCTGGATCCGCGAGACCCACATCACTGGTTCTTTTTGTCTTACAGAATGGATAATGGAGAGGCCTGCTTCATTCTCAGCAGTCGAAATGAGGTGGATCGCACGGCTGCGGTAAGACAGGCCTGGTTTTATTGTAGACTGATACTTTTAAGTCCAGCAGGAATGATTATGCTCATCGTGTCTGTCCTCCTGCATAACACAGGCCAAAGGACCTCTGTTGCCACCACAGTGATGGGGATGTGGTGGCTGGGCAGGAGCTGGGGGGACCGTACATAATCCCTCACTGATGGCCACTAGCTGAATTCATACATTCCCCTGGAGCAAGTTACCCTGCAGTGGTCTAGCACAAGGTTTTTTGCACCTTTTCCTGAAGTCTTTTGGCCCCTTTTGGAGACAGGATATTGGACTGGATGGAGCATGGGTTCGGCTTTCCTCTGCTAAGTGTCAAAAATATCCAGTGCATTTAGCAGCATGCTGTCTGCAGCTCCCCAGCCTGCCCTGCAAAGCTGGTCCATTGTGTCTCAGTGCTTTTATCATTTGTTCGTGTAAGAGGGATGATCAGGCGTAGGGACTTTGAGACTCAGGCTGATGTCATGAGCCAAAAATACCCTTTCATGTCATGCAACAGAAATATGCTCAAGAATGGGATGGTTAGTCTATAGTGGTATAGGCATGTTCTTTTAACTGCTGGGGTCCCTTAGTCGTGCATGAGCAAGGCAGTGAGAAGAGCAGCAGGTGGAAGTTTAGGATCGACAGAGTGGAGGGTCATCTTCAGGAAAAGTTAAATAGCAGAGAGTCTGTGATCTACCAATGCACTGACCCAACTCAGGAACAACAGCTTGGTTATATGAACAGAAGAGATGATCAGGGTCTTTCTGGCTTGGTCCTGGGTATGACTAAGCTGCATCCACCTGGAGGGCCTGGTGGCAACATGGTGGGACTACTCGTGGTGGGGTAGTTCCTATAAAATACCACCATGTTACAACCTCCAGAGTAAGGCAACTATAGGGCACCTCAAAACCCTGGTCCCTACTGCCTTGTTGGGTATTTCTTGGTTGGCAAAAAGCTAAGGGACATCACTGACAGAAACGCGCCCTCGCTGGGGCATTAGGCAGCCAGCAGTAGTTCTTCTCTGTTGCTTTGGCAGAAGCTACAGCCATCAAGGCACTGAATATCTGGACTTGATTTCTTTCCTTTGGATTCTGTCTCAGTGATCTAAAGGGGGGATAGCAGGTCTTGGGCAGCCTCCACCCCTCCATGCACTTGCCTAGGCATATGCATCAAAGGTCTTGGTGGGATGGTCATAGACCTCCTATGCATATGTCATGATCCAAAGGATCAATGGTTGCCTCTTACATGCCTGTCACAAAAACATTGCTTCTAGACCTCAGGTCAGTGATGACAACCTGCAGGCGTGGGATCAGGAGATCACCATCCCCCATACACACACACACACTCCTGGCTGCAGGGAAGGGATCTCCTCTCTGGTGCAGGATAAGAGGTAGGGTGGCTATGCAGAGGGAACCAGCAAGGCAAAGGCTGAGAGCTGCTGCATTCAAACATGAGGACGGACTGTTTTCCCCCATCCATGTCTGTGCAGCCAAGCAACTTCCAGCATTGCTCGCCAACAGCCGTAGCATTGTGTGTCCAGGCCAGGTGTGCCCTGCAGCAGTGCTGCTGGAGTGTCCTGTGCGTGGTGTGCTGCAGCCTTGCCAGGGGTGTGATGAAAGAAAGCTCTGCATGGATGTGGAAAGTCTCCCTGTCTGCTTTTCTCAGGGCTGAATCTTTGCTCCCACTAATCAAACTGACGGGACACAGGTGTCTCGTGAGAAGAGTAGCATCATCCTTCCTCCCTGCAGGCTCTGAACTCCTGGTCAGATTTATAGTGGCATCCCAGCCCCATCCTTGTGCCCACAGCTGCTGGTCCTGATGCCGTCAGCGCAGGGCTGTGGCTTTGCCAGGGCCTCAGCTGGGAAAATCGAGAGGAAAGTCATAACAGAGGAAATGTTTGTTTGAACACAGCTGGCCAGGGAGCGAGTTGTCAGGGTCCTGTCAGTCTCGCTCTGAGGAAGGAATCAGTAAAGACCTCAGGATTTAGTCCTCTGTGAATTGCCAAAAATATCCAGGGGCAGCTATAAATGGCTCTGGGATCTCATTCCTGGAGAGTTCCCCGCCGTGGCAGCATCAGTCTGTGCTGCACCTTCATTACAGAGAGCGGAGAGATATCAGTTGGTAACTGTGAGCAGAGAAGAGTGGAGAAATGTCCTCCACTTCCCCATAGTGGCCAAACGCGAGGGATAAAATGCATTTCATGGATGATGGCCTGCTGTGATTTGTGTGTGTGTGCTGTCCCTTGTCCAAAGCAGGACAGTGGCTGCTGGAGTCATTGCTCTGATCTGCCTAGCAGCCTGTGCAAGCATTTCCATCCATCGAGCAGGGCAGGGTTGGCAGCCTGCATGTGCAAGTTGTCCAGGTCAGAGACACGCTTCGGTGGAGGGTGACCACCTGACTTGCCTTTCAGTAAATTTTGAAGAGGAAAAGCAAAGTGCAGCGTGTTTTCTTCTGGCTCTTCGGTGCCTCTGCTGAGCCAAGCGACTCTGTCCTTCTTCTGCGATACTTGGTGCTTGTCCAGTTGAGTGCAGATGAAAAAGGCTTTTTGTGGGGTTTGGAGTAATGGGTGAGAAGCTGCCGGCTGGATCACTGAAGCACTGTGGTTTTTTCTGCTCTCAGACCTGGCTGGATTGAAGCTGGAGGAGAGCATTAGTTTGAAAGTCTAAGAAATAATTAAGGGCAACTTCTGCTCAGGCTTGGGAGGTTAATACCAGAAAACCAGTGTGTGCTTCGAATCCCTCAAATTCTCAGCAAAATAAGATCCCAGCCAGCCAAAAATCCAGTGGCAGACTCTGTGTGAGCAAGTGTTGTGGAGATAATTCCCAGGGCCCTTGCCTAGCCCTTGTCTCAGATCCTCCCACCTGGTCTTCTAGGAAGGGTGAAATGGCTGAGTGATCACTTTAACTGTTCATATTTGCACCACATCCCGAGCGTCTGTGCAGAGCATCTTTGCTGAATCCAGCAATGCCAACGCAGTTCAGGGGAACATTGAAGAAAAAGGCAAGGGCAGCTTTGGGCTTCTCAGCTCCATGATGTAGTACCCAGTACAGAGTGGCAGCCCAAGTGCTTGGGATGCTGGACCCTGCTCTGTCTTGTTCAGCCCACTTGAGTGTCCTGACCTTGGAGCTACTAGCTATTCTGGGTCCTTTTTTTTTTCTTTCAGTAGTAACCCCTTGACTGAACTTGGTTGCTTTCCAACACATAATAGGAAATCATTTAAGGACATGTGGGACAAGAAATTTTTTTCCCTGTCAGGCTCTTCTAGCTGCTTCTCAATGCCAGGCATTGCCTCCTTTTGTAACAGCAGGACCTAGCGCAGCCCTGGCTAGTGGACCTAGGTCTTGGCTGTGGCAATAGAAGATCAGGCGTCAAGACTAAGAGGTCCTGGTTTAGGCACCGTGAGACCATGAGGGAAGATGATGTTGTACAAGCGCTTCCCAGAGCGACATGGGAAGCACAATCTGCTCACGGCCGTCTGGACGGGGAGCACATAAGGGGATGTGATTTCCCAGGTGAATGCTGGGATATTTTTTGGCCTCTTTCTAGACCTGCTGCTTTTACTCTCCATCATGGAGGAATCCAAGCTTGGATACTAGAAACAGAATAAGTTTGGCACATGGCAGTACTCTTTGTGTAGCTTGTATGACTCAGATTGAATTATTATTTCCCACGATTTCCAATGGATCGTATCACCAGGTCCCACCAAACATTCATGTACACATATTGGTGTTACCTTCCTCCCAGTATCAGTGCAACCTAGAGTCCACCATATCCGTGGTGTGCATTTCCCATGTCCAGTTCTGTCTAGAGCAACTCAATTCCAGTTGCAGAATGGCATGCCCAGGCTTTCAACGGGCCCTTCTGGAAAGGTCCCTTTTGTTTTTTCTATTTCACTTCAAAACTCTGACAGGTTTTTTTTTACTTTAATGTTTCTGTGTTAGCAGCTACCAGGAACAGCTGGGTGCTTTAGAAGAGCCTGCTGGTGCTTGCCCTTCTGTGATTGCAAGAATATCACTTTTTAATTAAACTAAAAAACATGCAGGGGCAGGGACTTACCAGTCTACTACAGTGGTGTCTAATGAGTAGTTCTTGTCCTTCTCTTTCCTTAGGACCATCAGACCATCCTGAGAGCCTGGGCAGTAAAAGATTTTGCCCCCAACTGTCCTCTCTACGTTCAGATTCTCAAGCCTGAAAATAAGTTTCACGTCAAGTTTGCTGGTGAGTTTTGTACGGTGTAAGTGTGGGCTTGTTACACAAATTGCCAATTGCTCAAATCACAAGTGAGACCTTATGAGGGAGGCAAGATGCCATTTTTGTTGATTAAGCGCTTAATACACACACACACCCCTGCATTCATACCCCAATCTCTGTTCTGCGCTGGTATATGTTACCAGTCTTATCAGTGCTCAGATCAGCCTAGTGGCCAGACAAGTTGATCACGAATCAATTAAGGAGGCTTACTCCCAATGGAAAGGAGGGGTCATCACTAAGGAGGACTATTCAGCAGTTGCTCGGGGATATAGGGGAATGGTTAGGAAGGCCAAGGCAGAGATGGAACAGGGGCTGGCTTCCCAGATTAAGGACAATAAGAAGTCCTTTTTTAAATACATAGGGAGTAGAAAGAAGGCCCCAGGAAATGTGGGGCCCTTGCAGGACAAGACGGGGAATCTGGTTGTCACGCCAGATGACAAAGCCAACATATTTAATAACTTCTTTGCCTCTGTCTTCCTCAGTAAGGACCAGAACTGCCACCTC